TAGACAAGGCCTTGTATTGCTTGGAGACATGCAAATTGAAACCGATGAATGGGTCGTTTGGTTCCATTGTTAGCCTGTAATATCTGAAACTAGTCTATGAATATGAGAATGCACAAGTACACATATTGAAAATCGGCCAATTGTTTTCTCTAGAACCTCTGCCTTCCTTCCTCATCCGCCGCCTCCTATGAGAGACGCATACAGAAGCCTGTATGGAGAACCCCATCAGTGCTGCGGAACCAGAAACCTGCTGGACACAAACATGGCCTACTGTAAGTGTTGGTCTCTAACAGGAAGAGAACCTTTAGAACGCCTCTTCTGCACATGACCCGCCGTCTCCTATCTCATCCAGATCATCGCGGTCCTGATGCTGGCCCCGGCTTCCCTGTGTCCTACTGGAATATTCCACCAGGGGGAGCTGTGAGCAGCCAGCTGGGTTCCCACAGCCCCCACAGCCAGCATGGTGGCTACAGTTACCCAGAAGCTTTGTTAGGGTAAGGGCTTTAAGGTGTTCTTCATAAACCGCTCTCCTTGATTCTGAGCGTCGCTGTTCTGGAACTTTCTGTTCAGACCCAGCAACCAGAGCACTGCTGCCGGCTCACAGGCAGGAGGCTTCCCCTCAGAGAGGACTGGATCCACCAGGGACCGGATTCTGAGCTACAGAGAGGCTCTAAAACTGCAGGTAAGGCAGATTCTTTCCAGTCAGATAAAAACCGCTGGGATCACAAAGGCAAGCATGTGTGCTTCTTACATCCCAGTCTGTGGTATGTTGACAGGAAGCTTCCAGGACTGGGAGCAGCACTCCTTTCGGCGAGGTAAAATGGATCTAGACGAGACTAGCTGCTAGAGGAATACTGTTTGTTTTTTTTAAGAGTTGATGGTAGAAATATTTAGGATTTTCCCCCCGTTGAGATCTCTAACATCCCAGATTCACACTAGTCCTGTCCCAGTACCTCCTGCTTTCCTTAGACACGTCCTTGCTATTCCTCAGGTTGGTTGATTTTCTCCAAACACAAAATTCCAGTACATTCTAAACCAAACAAGACCCCTAAGCAGAGACTAGTGCATCCTAAGGACAAAACCCCCAAACCAAATATGAGCAGAGTGTTGAATGCAGGTCAACGCAGTGATGGATACTCTGATCTTTACATTGGAGAAACCTGTGAAAGCATATTTTCCTTGGCTTATTTCAGAATCAGAATCGGGTTTATTGCCATTGTTAGTGAAGGAGTTCACAACCAGGAATTTTTTTATGGTACAATCGTGCAACATGAAACATATAATATTATATTTGTGAGATAAAATATTCTGAGTGTGCCTTTCCTCTGCCTAAATAGGGGTGATTGTATAGAAGTCTTGTACCAGTCTGTATGCTGGAGTTAAGTTATGTAGGGAGTTAAGAGTGGGGGATGACAGAAAGCAGTTGCCTCCCTTCTCTAGACAAGGATGAAGGGAGGGTCATGAGAGACAAGAATGAGTTCACACAGCCTCCTTCATGCTGTGAACAGTAGACCTGTTCTGAGTGTTTATCTGGCTAAAATATATGTCCTTGACAATTTAAGTGTTTTTTCTTGGGAATAACCAAATGTTGTGAGAAAGTTCTTTGTGCAGGGGTGGGATAGTTCCATGGGAGAGGGAGTGTGTTGGGATTTTTTAAGGTATAAATGTAAGTACTGAGTCAGAGCTTTTTTCTCTCTGTCTAAGGACATTAAAAAAATTTTGAACTTTGTCTTGCAAATATCTCAGTTTCTCCTCAACTTGACAAACCAAACAACCTCTCCAAGGACATTCTTTTTAAGGACCAGAAGACAGGTGGTTTAATAGGGGTGTAAAGGAAGCCATTTATGGTAAAAAAAAAAAAAAAAACAACAACAAAAAAACCAACCTTAAACAGAACGGGACAGGCAGGATCTAGCTTTCGAAAGAATTGATTCCTTCCTGCTATCATCGCTACCCCCACCCCCATATAGGAGACCAGAATATTTGCCTGATCACCCAGGTCATTAATTCCCCTTAATAACCTCCTTTTTAGAGGCATAGACCAGTATTGGGTATTGCAGGCTAACAAAGAACCAAAACAAATCCCAATACCATAAGGGCAGATCCTTTCGTCAAGGTCAATTTGCATGTTCTCTAAGCCAGAACAAGGCATTGTTTTTGGGCCACTCTATAACGATTCAAACTCAACGCTATTTCTGACATTTTGAATTGAAAAAGCTTCCTGATTGGGAAGCAAAACGTCTTCAAACTTGGAAACAAAGTCCAGTGAATTATTTTTTTAACATTTTTGGAATGTCTATGATGTGGATGATGGAGAATCTTAAGATATTGATGATATTGTTGGGCGATTTTCAGAACTGAAGAGATTCCTCACATAACGATGATAGTACATCAGTTTGGGTACAGTGTGTTGTCTCCAAGCACAGCAATTCACGCAGCAGCTCATTTTGAAGCTGTGAACCCATCTGGCGCATGTTGCTGGTCTCCTGTGTACAATAGCAGACGCAATGGAAAGAGAGGCTGTATTCGCTGGGATGAGTGGAAAAAGAGTAGTTTTAAGATAAAAGTTCACATCAAAACTTCAGCCGTGTAGTCGGATCGTCAACAACCTGATTCTGATAGGAATGGAAACATGGTTTAGGAATAATTCTTAATAGTTTATTTGATTAAAATATGTTTAATCAGATTAATTGATCACTTCTGCTTAGAAGGAATTTCTCTGTGTTGTAGTTTTATGGCCATCCAGTAGAGGGCGCCACTGTTTATTGCTTAGTAAAGTCTCATTGGTATTTATATGAGAAGTAATGCCAGAGTG